GACAAGCACAGCAGCTACACCAACCCTGGAGACAGGCACTGTAGCTACTCAAACCCCGGTGACAGACACTGTAGCTGAACCAGCTGATACTAGCCTGTGCTGGTATCAGTTGACCCTATACAGAAGAAGAAATACACCAAAAAATCAGTTCACTTAGTGAGGGATGAAAATGAACCAAGGTCATCACAAGAACAAGAAGAGAGGCAGAACCAGATATAAACACCTGATCCCTATCCCTCAGTGAGCTGCAAGATATGCGAAAGGTTTTCAGCTGCTGTCCAGGCAAGCATGCTGTTACCTGGTTGCTGCAGTGATGGGTAGAGAAGCCAAGCAGCTGGAATCCCTGTCGAGGGAGGGGGACATTGACAAGGTGATTGGAAAAAAGACACAAACTCTCAGCCTCTGGAGGTGACTCCTGTCAGGTGTGAAGGAAAGGTACCCCTTCAAGGAAGATATTACGTGTCACCTAGGCAAGTGGACTGCCATGGTGAGAGGTATCCAGTACCTGAAGGAATTAGCCATGCTGGAGGTGATTTATAATGATCCAGATAACAAGCAGTTACCTGCAGATCCAGATGAACTCCAACACACACAAACCATGTGGCAGAGGTTTCTACAAAGCGCACGACTATCGTATGCTGTCACGGATGGAGTGATGCATTTGTAAGAGAGAAGTAGCAGTATGTTTATTGAATTAAAACATCAATTTAACAAAGTTTGATAGTAAATGCAACAATGCTTTAACATGATTCGATGGCAAGGTTCTTTTGCTATTAACTGCATAGAGGACAGCGCCAGACAAAACTGTCAAGGAGAACCTCCCATTGAGTCATGGGGTTCAGAATGGGCCCCCTTGCTTTCTAAACTCCTTCTCAGAGTCATATTTACACACTGACTACAGAGCTTAGTTTCTTCCAAATTTGGCTTGATTCGGACATTGATCACCACCCTGGTTAGGTGGGTGCATTGTTCAAATTAGCCTTTGACGTATTGTTATCTGTCTCCCCCATATTTTGAGTTGGATGCAGCCATCATGACCAGACACATTCATTATGACCGCTACTGGTGATTATCACTTGAATAGGGTTATGGGAACTACAGGTCAGATTGTTGAGGCAGGGGGCAGGGGCAGGGCCAGGGGCAGGGCCAGGGTGGGGAGCACACCACTGCATATGCCAACTCAGTAGCAGTAATGTCTTGGAAAGAAGGAAAAGGACAAATGGTGAATGAAATATTTGGCTAGCTCCAGCAATACAAAGGAAGTCTCTCTCCCTGTGGGCCTGTGTCTTGGCTGTGGAGAAACTGTTGGGAGTTCCAGCTATTCAAACAGCATATGTCCTACTCACCACCTGTGCGGACCCATATCTCGGCTATTAGGAGTAACTATGCTTCTGATCCAGAGAGGATATAGAAGGTGCACACCATGGGGTACTCTGTAGTTTTACCTGTGTGACCACAGAGAGGACATGAGGAAGTGGGATGGAAAGCTACCTTGACCCTAGAGGCACAGGTACGTGAGTTGCAAAGATAAACAATCACAAAAGGGGATTCTTCCTGGAAAAATGCCTCTCCAGTTTCTGATGGGCAGTTCCCCAGACAGAGTAGAAGGGCTGATCTCACTTATGCTCCTCTTGAAGGGATGTCTGATTCACGTTAACAGAAAGTGAGTAATGAATACTATGACCAGGATTAGAGGGGCCCTGCCTCCAGTCAGGTGGAGGAAAGGGATGGCCAGGTTTATTGGACTGTGTGGGTTTGATGGCCTGGCACATCAGACCCACAGGAGTGTAAGGCCTTAGTTGGTACCAGTGCACAATGTATCCTGGTCCCACCAATCTACAAAGGGGCAGAACCCATCTGTATTTCTGGAGTCACAGGGGGATCTCAATAGCTAACTGTATTAAAAGCTGAGGTGAGTCTAACTGGGAATGAGTGGCATAAACACCCCACTGTGACTGGACCAGAGGCCCTGTGCATCCTTGGCATAGACTGCCTCAGGATAGAGTATTTCAAAGACCCAAAAGGGTAGAGATGGCCCTTTGGTATAGCTGCCGTGGAGGCAGAGGACATTGAACAGTTGTCCATCTCGCCTGGTTTCTCGGAAGACCCTTCTGTTGTGGGGCTGCTGAACAACAGGTGCCAATTGCTACCACAATGCTGCACTAGTGGCAATATTGTACCAACCGAGACTCTCTGATTCCCATGCATAAGCTGATTCATTGACTAGAAAGCCATGGAGTGATCAGCAAAACTCACCCTTTAATAGTCCCATATGGCCAGTGTGAAAATCTAAGGGAGAGTGGAGACTAACACTAGACTATCGTGGCCTGAATGAAGTCACACTGTGGCTAAGTGCTGCCATGCTGGATATGCTAGAACTTCAATAGGAAGGCATCCAAGTGGTATGCCAAAAGTGGTATCACTAATGCATTTTTCTGAATCCTTTTAGCAGCAGAATGCAGGCCACAGTTTGCTTTCACTTGAAGGGGTATCCAGTACACCTCAATCAACTGCCCCAGGGGTGGAAACACAGCCCCACCGTGTGCCGTAGGCTGATCCAGACTGCACTGGAACAGGGTGAAGCTCCAGAACACCTGCAATACATCGATGTCATCATCATATGGGACAACACAGCACAGTTTTTGAGAAAAGGAAGAAAATAGTTCAAATCCTTCTTCAGGCTGGTTTTGCCATAAAATGAAATAAGGTCAAGGGACCTGCACAGGAGATCCACTTTTTAGGAATAAAATGACAAGATGTAAGTAATCAGATCTCAATGGATGTGATAACAAAATAGCAGCTATGTTCCCACTGACTAGCAAAAAGGAAAAACATATGCTTTCTTAGGCATTGTGGGTTTTTGGAGGATGCATATTCCAGATTACAGTCTGATTGTAAGCACTCTCTACCAAGTGACCTGGAAGAAGAATGATTTTAAATAGGGTCCTGAGCAATGACAAGCCTTTGAACAGACTAAACAGGAAATAGTTCATGCAGTAGCCCTCAGGCCAGTCTAGGCAGGACAAAATGTTAAAATTGTGCTCTACACTGCAACTGGGGAAAATGGCCCTACCTGGAGTGTCTGGCAGAAAGCACACAGGGGTACCCAAGGCCAACCCCTGGGGTTTTGGAGCTGGGGATACAGAGGATCCAAGGCCCACTGTACTCCAACTGAAAAAGATATTGGCAGCACAGGAAGGAGTTCAAAGTGGTTGGTACTGAAGCACAGCTCCTCTTATCACCCCAACTGCCAGTGCTGGGCTGGATGTTCAAAGGGAAGGTCCCCTCTACACACCATGCAACTGATGCCACATGGAATAAGTGGGTCACACTGATCACACAGTGGGTGTGCATAGGAAACCCCGGTGACCCAGGAATTTTGGAAGTAATCAAGGACTGGCCAGAAAGCAAAGCTTTCACAATACCACCAGAGGAGGAGGTGATGTGTGCTGAAGAGACCCCACTGTATAATAAACTGCCAGAAAATGAGAAACACTATGTTACAACAAATGGAGCCCCAAAGTAATGGATTAAATAAACTCAATGGACATGTTAGAGGGATGTCTCATAGACTAAGGGAATGATACCTTTCTTTCTTTCTTTCTTTTCTTTCTTTCCTTTCTTTCTTTCTTTCTTTCTTTCTTTCTTTCTTTCTTTCTTTCTTTCTTTCTTTCTTTCTTTCTTTCTTTCTTTCTTTCTTTCTTTCTTTCTTTCTTTCTTTCTTCTTTCTCTCTCTCTCTCTCTCTCTGACAGGAAAAGGGGTGGTGAATAATTGGAAAGTGTAGGATCTGAGGATGATGTAGATGGTATGGAATAAGAGGTGGTTAATGTCCTGGCTTTGGCTAGGATAGAGTTAATTTTCACAAAAAGCTGGGAGGGGACATGGCCAGGATAGCTGCCCCAACTAGCCAAGGGGGTATTTGATACTCTGTGACGTCATGCCCAGTACATGTACTGGGGGAGGTGGCCAGAGGGTGGAGAGATTGTGTCTCAGGAACAGGCTGAGCATCAAGCATTGGGTTCTAGGTGGTGAGCAATTGCACTGTAAATCACTGGCTTTATGTATTATTTTATTAGTGTTTTTGCTATTATTGTTTCTTCTCTCCTTGTTTTGTGCTATTAAACTGTCCTTGTCTCAGCCCATGAGTTTTTACTTTTTTCTTCTTATCCTCCTCCACATCCCACCAGTGCATGGAGGAGTGAGTGAGCAGCAGTGTGGTGCTTCATTGTCAGCTGGGCTTAAACCATGACATTTATGCATCCTGTCTGTTGGAGAGGAGAACACTTGCAGCTCTGATCCCTTTCAGTGAGGTCGAGTGACAGGTCCTCTGCATGACTTTGTGAAGAGAACCAGTAACAGTTACTAGCAGGGACTCAGCAATGATGCTAGAAAAACTGCAGGCATGAAAAGGAGTCAGTTTCTAGTTACAAGTGTGATTCACCTGGTGAAGACCCATGATGTGTTGTGTGATACATCTCTTATTGACTGAGAGTGACTGGTCAGGTACCTTGGATTGAGCTGGGACTAATTCTGAGAGCTAGACATCTCTCATAGCTGGCAAACTCATGCATTCTCCTAGAGCTGTTATATTTCCAGTTGTCTTTTAATCACCTATCTTTCATTTTACCTTCCAGAGCCCCCTTTGAGGGTCTATGTGTTAAGTTTTGGAACATTTTTGATAAAGTATCTTTGTTTACATGGTTGGAAAGAGTGCAATTCTGAATTTAGGTGCACTGTTCACAGACTGCTTCGTTTATGATAATGTGTAATCATTGTGAAAAAGTATTTTATCTTCAGCTGCTAGGCAACCCAGGAAAAAACAAAACAGAAGAATGATATCGAGCTTGCTAGCCAAATAACTGATAGCATCGATCTGTGTGAATTTTGACAGCTGCAATAGGAACTTGGTCATCTTGCAGGAGTATAAATTGCCAGTAGAGAGACAGCAGCCTTATACTGAAGTCATGATGCAAGTCCTCTTCCTACTCACAGCTGTAGGGTTTTGCTGGGCACAGTACAACCCTAATACTCTCTCTGGGAGGACGTCTATTGTACATCTCTTTGAATGGCGCTGGGCCGATATTGCTCTTGAATGTGAACGCTATTTAGCTCCTAATGGATTTGGAGGAGTTCAGGTAAGTATGTTGTCTGTGACTAGGTAGGAAAATGGCACTGTAGCATTCAATTAATTAATAAAAAATTCCTGAATCGGGGACAGCCAGCTCTGAGTAACTTTAGTGTTGAAAAAGGAGGGACGGAAGTACTAACTGCTGTTAGACACAGGAGCCTACAGGGCCAATGAATGATATTGTATCTCTAGCGTATCAGTTACAAAGGGCCATGCTTTCCTCTGAAAGTCATACCCTGCAAAGCTAAGTTTTCCTCTTTACATTGTTCTTAGGGAAGTGCATAAGTCTTTCCTTAAGGGTGTCACCATTCCAGGTGAAAATAATTCCAGTGACTTCAGCCCTCTCATGTGCCTGTCCTTCAAAGCAGGCCCATCCTGGACCTGAGCAGCCCACAGGAATAAAAGACAACTTCTTTCTTGCCAGTCTGTAAGAGACATCTCACAGACCTGAGCTTGTGCTGTGGGAGAGAGAAAGACTGGGTTGGGTGCTACTGTCTCTGAGGGTAGATATGCTGAGAACAGATTTTGCCCTTAAAACATTAAAATAAATTCGACTGATTCCTTATCAAAGCACATATTTTCATCTATAGGTTTCACCTCCAAATGAAAATATTGTCATTACTAACCCGAACAGACCCTGGTGGGAAAGATACCAGCCCATCAGCTACAAGCTCTGCACTCGATCAGGAAATGAAAATGAATTCAGAGACATGGTGACCAGATGCAACAATGTTGGAGTAAGTGCTTTGAAAATCTGTATCTGATATGGCAAGAAGTGCTCTGTCAGCTGAGGGAAGTTACTGCTGCTGTCCTCAAAGGGGGCATAAACAGAGAACAAACTGAAGGGGAAAAAAAAATGATCGAATTAATAGCGCTGTGATAGAACTCTGGCTACCACTTCACCATCATTATGAAACATGCTGAAATGCACTTACTGCTTTTCCAGGTTCATATTTATGTGGATGCTGTTGTCAATCATATGTGTGGGGCTGCAGGTGGCTCAGGCACACATTCAACCTGTGGAAGCTATTTTAATGCTGGGAACAGAGATTTTCCAGCTGTGCCATACTCTGGCTGGGATTTCAATGATGGCAAATGTCGAACTGGAAGTGGAGATATTGAAAATTATGGTGATATGTATCAGGTAACTTTCTCTGGCAAAAGTTTGAAATATTTTTTCTTTTTCTTTTTTTTTTCTTTTTTTTTTTTTTTAACCTGTTGAGTAAACATTAGAGTAAGGCCAAACAAAGGGACTAGTTTCTCACAAAACCTGTTCTTAGTCACCTGACAAGTGAATGAAGTAGTGAACACAGGTACTGGAAAGGTACCTGTGGTGCAAAATACCCTAAGTACTGAGAAATCAAGAACCGTCCCTGAATGTTTCACATGGGTATGTGCAGGAGTTTGCTCCTGAACTGAGCCCAGTATACTCAGCTCAGCTGGTGAGCTCTTTCTTTTAGCTTGTAAACTCCTCTGATCTTGATAAGGAGCCCACTTGGAAAATTGACAGGAGTGCAAGGTGGTACTCTGGTTGAGTGACTTACTCTTTTTGGTAGATGGAATATGTCAGTTCTTTCTCAAGGTTACTGCTCTTCCTTTGGCCAATTTGCAGCAGTACACTGTGCTGTTTCTCATCCTCAGTTCTGATGACATCTGCACAGGGAAGTGATATCCTTCTCCAACTGTCCTAACTGGAGTATTGTGCTGCATAGTAAGTTTACTTCTGTCTTCGTGCAGACTGTTGTGGTTTAACCCCAGCCGACAGCTAAGCACCACACAGCCAGTCACTCACTCCTCCCCTGGTAGAGGGAGGGAGAGAATGAGAAAAGTGAGAAAACTCATGGGTTGAGATCAAGACAGTTTAATTGGTAAAACAAAAGCCACACATAAGCAAAGCAAAACAAGGAATTAATTCACCACTTTCCAACGGCAGGCAGGTGTTCAGCCATCTCCAGGAGAGCTGGGCTCCATCATGCATAACAGACACATAGGAAGAAAAAGTGCCATCACTCTGAATGTCTCCTGCCTTCTTCCCCCAGCTTTATATGCTGAGCATGATGCAGTATGGTGTGGGATATCCCTGGGGTCAGTTGGGGTCAGCTGTCCTGGCTGTGTCCCCTCCCAACTCCTTGTGCACCCCCAGCTCACTTACTGGTGTGGTGGGGTGAGAGGCCTTGACTCTGTGTAAGCACTGCTCAGCCATAAAAAATACATCCCTATATTATCAACACTGTTTTCAGCACAAATTCAGATTGTAGTCCCAAACTAGCTACTAGGAAGAAAATTAACTCTATCCCAGCCAAAATCAGCACACAGACTTTGGCATAATTCTCTTCTGTGCAAATGAAATATCCAAACAAAATTGATTTTATGTCTCAAAACATGCAAATATTTCATTGACAGGTTTTATAAGCTGACAGAGTGGCACCTCAATAATTTATTTTTTTTATAATACAGGTCCGGGACTGTCGCTTGGTTAGCCTTCTTGATCTGGCCCTGGAGAAGGACTATGTACGCTCAAAAGTTGCTGAGTACATGAATTATCTCATTGATATTGGCGTAGCAGGCTTCCGAATTGATGCTGCCAAGCATATGTGGCCTGGGGACATAAGAGCCTTTCTGGACAAGCTGAAAAATTTAAATACTAAATGGTTTTCTGCAGGAACAAAACCTTTCATTTACCAGGAGGTAATGTGGTTTTTTGCTTGTGTTTCTCTTTGTCTTTGCTATCTCTTTTAACTTCCTCCTTCAGAGGAATGGCAGGATTATATCTTCATCCAACTTTACCCCAGAAAGAGCTATCTTTGGAGGAGCCCTGCAGACATAAGTTGTTTTGCATTTTAAAAATACCTCCTCAACAGATTCTCATTCAACTTTACATTTTCTTTCTTCAATCATGTCTTTACATGTGTCCATCATGTATTATACTGACTTTGGGTTAATCTACACAGCAGAAATAAACATACATGAATATTTTTTCTCTCAAGGTAAAGCAAGAACTAATGTTGGGGACTGTACACTCCATATTTTATCTCTCTGAGATGTGAACAGATGCACAGTTTGTCCTTTGTGTACCAGGTAATTGACTTGGGCGGAGAGCCAATCAAAGGCAGTGACTACTTTGGAAATGGCCGAGTGACAGAATTCAAATATGGTGCAAAACTGGGGACAGTGATCCGCAAGTGGAATGGAGAAAAGATGGCCTACTTAAAGTAAGATTGAAGATGCTGCAACTTACCTGGGATACGCTGGATACGCCGGTTGACAGGGTAGCTTCAAGTCTTTGTGTTTTTGGCTAGGAACTGGGGAGAAGGCTGGGGCTTTGTGCCTTCCGACAGAGCCCTGGTCTTTGTGGATAATCACGACAACCAGCGGGGGCATGGGGCCGGTGGAGCTTCCATTCTAACCTTCTGGGACCCCAGGTAAAGGATTGCTTGTCTGGGTGATGCTTCTTCCTTTTGCTTGCTTGTCTTTCTGTTCTCCGGCATGCTTTCTCTTTCCACGTCTCACTACTTTTTCTGTCTAACAAACAGGCTTTATAAAATGGCAGTTGGTTTCATGCTTGCTCATCCATATGGGTTCACACGTGTGATGTCAAGTTTTCGCTGGCCAAGATCTTTTGTAAATGGACGGGTAAGCTTGTAACACTGAAGATACGTTCATGGTGAATAAGGATCCAAACAGGCCCAGAGCTGCAGCCCAGTGCATTTAAATTTGCTGAGTGATTTCTCTGTCCCCTGCTGGATCTAGCAGGTGGAACTTTGATGCTCCATCCAGCTTTTGTCTGCAGATAGGCTCTCTGCATTTTCAGGAAGAAGTTATAGACTTCTCTTTTTTTGTTACAGGATGTCAATGACTGGATTGGACCACCAAGTAACTCGGATGGGTCAGTAAAGCCTGTTACAATCAATGCAGACACTACCTGTGGCAACGACTGGGTTTGTGAACATCGCTGGCGTCAAATAAAGTAGGACACTGCGGAGAAAACAGTAAAAGCAGTGGCTTTTGCTTCCTGTTCCTTGTGGCTTTAGAGCTCTTGCAGCCACAGTGATAGGCGTTCCTTGCATTTTTCAGGAACATGGTTATCTTCCGTAATGTGGTGGATGGTCAGCCTTTCTCCAACTGGTGGGACAATGGCAGCAATCAAGTAGCTTTTGGCCGTGGTAATAAAGGCTTCATCGTTTTCAATAATGATGACTGGTAAGTCAGTGGGAGAGACCGTGTCCCTAGAAAGAAGTATAGCAACCCTCAAGAGCAATTCCTGATGGGAAGGGGAATGTCACTTTCTCATAATGGAGTGATCACTACCATCTGAGCTAGAGACATTCAGTTGCATGCCAGGTCTAGAGAGCCAAAATGGAATCATAGGGTGGGAAGCAAGGATAGGATCAGAAAGCTCACACCCTTACATTTCCCTTCAAAATAAGGGAGTAGCAACAAATTCAAAAACCCTATATCCAGTTTGAAATATCCGTTTTGAAAACAATGGATAAACAGCATTCACTCGTTTTCCCATAGGAATATGGATGTCAGTTTGCAAACTGGACTGCCTGCTGGTACCTACTGTGATGTTATTTCTGGACAAAAGGAGGGCAACAAATGTACTGGAAAACAGGTGTATGTTTCTGTTGATGGAATGGCTAATTTCCAGATTAGTAACAATGCCGAAGATCCATTTGTTGCAATTCATGTTAATGCCAAGTTATAATTCAGGAGAAATGTCCTTCTCTATTTACTCTGTACATTTACTCTTTCCCCCCTGTGCAATTCCTTGGTATTCAAGCATGAATGATTCCCTGTATCTAGTGAATAATAAATGGCAATCAAAGTGAAGAGTAATGCTTTTTTCCTTACTGTGTTGGATTGTAACTTTCTCATGTCATAACTAGTGGCAATGCAGTGTTGGGTTTTAAGGAAATGCAGCACTCCATTTCCCACATCACAGAAACATGCGAGGACAGTGTCTGAGGCACAGCATATCCTTGACTCTGTGGTGTGTTAGGCTTGCTTATTCTGTAATACCTCAGCGAATTAGGCGGATGATGTACAGACTTGGCAGCTTTCCCAGTTTCATTGTCAGCCGTGAGAAAATGCTGAGGTAGATGCCAGAGTGCAGCCCTTGCTTTGAGTCAGAATGTCTTCTTGGCCAAAAGCACTTGTTGTGACCCATTCTGGAGGAGCAAATGGAAGAGGAACACTTGGATTTGCTACTTTTGAGGTCAAGGTGTATTTTTAAGGGCTGTTTCCCTTTTGTGGTGGGAGAGAGTGCACAGGTGCTGGGGGCGGCTGTTGGCTCTCAATGCGCCCAAGGGCTCGCAGTGTCTGTCAGGGCAGTCGTGGTGTGGGAGGAGGGTCCCCAGTAGTGTCCCTGGCCCAGAGGCTGGACCTGCTGCCTGGCTCCCCTGCTTGCTGTGGCCAGCACCACCTTGCTGAGGGCAGGGGGCCTGCTGGCAAAGCGCAGCCGCTGGATCTGCTGGATAGAGCTGTGCCAAAGGTTGGGAGACCCATGTGGCAGGATGTTAATAGCCATTGCCAACCTGTCGTGTGTCCTCAGGGTCAGGTCAGGGAGCCCTCCTGACCCTTTGAACTAGATTAGCATTGCCTGCTGTGGGTTACTGTTCCTTTGTTTGTTTAAGCCATGCGTTCAGCTCTAACCCTCAGAAAATGTGTGATTCTATGCTATCTATTATTCAGACATTACCTAATCCCAAATGTAATAGTCTATCCTTAAAATTACAAATCCACACCAAAGCCCCCTGGCTATTGTGGTAAATGATTGAAATGACACACATTGATCTGAGGTGTCCATAAATAAACAGGAGGTGCTGAATATGGAGAAGGATATCTCTGTGCCTGTGAACCTATGTGGATGCACTTTTCAATTACATCAGAGCTCAGTGAGTGTTTTGCCTGGTGTAGGTAGATAGCTTTGCATTTAACAGTGGCATTAAAAACAATATGGAGAAAAAGAATCATGAGACAGTTTCTTTAGGTGTTAAGTAAAACATTGTGTGCCAGATGTTCACTGAATTGAAGGATCAGACCTGCCTCCAGACTTTTTTTTGTTCTTTTTTTTTTTTTTTTCCCAAGCTTTATGCCACTTTGCCTTATAATTTGAGCACAAATAAAAGATGAAAAAAGCAACAGTGTCATCCAAACACCAGGTCTTTCAGATGAGTCATGATACCTAGAGTTATAGTCAGCTTTACTACTGACCTTTAAGTTTTTTCAAAAATTATTAGCACTAGGAAATTTTTATCATTTTTATAATTTCTATTACTACTCTTCTATATGTAATGTGATGTCAAAAAGGCTTTAATTTTGTATGGCAGTAATGAATGAAAATTTGAAATCCTATTAAGAAATTTATTAAGTTTAAAGTAAGGTATTTGCTAGGGCACAATGGGTTATCTAACAGATTTGCTGAAGTGTAAGATTTCAGAATTTTGTAGGCATTATGTAACATCTCATTTTCTGTTGCAAAGTAGTGTTCACGTTCATTTGTTGAACAGTGAGTTTGAGTAATATCAAAACCTGTTATAGGATGATACTCTAAATTTTGTTTTAATATTTCCAGGCTCAAGCCTTCAAAATAATATCTCAAACCTTATAAATTCTGAAATTTAAAATAAGTATTGTTTTGAATTAGAGTTGGGTTTTATTTTCAGTCCAAGTTTTGAATTTTCTAGGTACACTCTCTTGGTTTTATATTTTTATTTGAAATTTGGTGTAGAATTTAAACATGCAAAAAGCCCCCAAACCTAACCAGCTGGAATTAAGCACATAAAAATAAACATTTTCATTTTTAGGGATACACCATAAGGCTGATTGGAAAAATCTTGACTATGATCAAAGGTAAATACTGTTACCTTTTTCACATACTGTCAGTTTATCAGACTGGTTTTAAAGTGAATGAAAGAAAGATGAGGGATAGTAAGACATTAATTTTCCTTTGGGATCTCTGAGATTTCTCTTCCAGAAAAGTTTAACTAGTTCTGTTATACAATTGCCTTTTCAGTTGCTTCACTGTAGAAGAGCATGACTGCGATTGCTAGGTCATGAGGAACGATTCAGCTGGTATTTGTGGAGCAGAAGGTGAATGTGTCCATCTTCACTTATGAGAAACAAGATAATAGCATATCTGAGAAACCAACCTTCCTTCCTTCCTTCCTTCCTTCCTTCCTTCCTTCCTTCCTTCCTTCCTTCCTT